ACGAGGCGAGAAGACATCTCTTCTGTTTTCTCTTTTCCAGCCCGCTTGCGAGAACCTGCACAAGAACACCCGCCGACAACACAATAATCTGGACGCTCGATTGGCAAGAGCCATTATTGACTGGACTGGACCTAACGAAATTTGAACTTTTAATGCACTCTTTTGTTTGGCGGTTACAGTTCTGAGGCGCCTCGCGTTCTTGGTGTTATCGCGATGACTATCCCGGTTGAGCAGATTGGTAGTGAGCGTCAGAGAATTCCGGTTAGTTTTTCCATTTGAATTTTTATGCATCTCATTGTTCAGGCCACTCTGGTGAAAATCGAAAAGTCGGTGGGCCTCATACAGTATAATCCGAAGTAAGTTCGTAACCTAATGACCTGACTCCCGTTGACTTACTTAAGTCAACCTGATACATATCAGGTCGGTTCCCACTGAGTTTCAAATTTTTGCGTTCAATATTAAAAAATTTCTTCATCTAGCTTTTGATAGTTTAATGAATCCGTTTTCAGGCAGTTTAATTTAAATCGTTGTACTTCGCAAGCGGGAATCACAGCAACTAATGCACGTGTTTTCCAAAACTGGTTTTATTTAAAAAAAAAAGCGGTGACACATTTAGTGGTTTGTTTTACATGTACTGCAATCAGTTACACGAGATGTCTCCTGTAACTGGTCGAACTGTCAATACTCGACCATAACCAGGGTTACTCTGCCGCAATTTTTTGCATTGCTCTATCCTCTGGGGCAAGGTCGGTGTTATTCCTGATAGCGTAGCGCTTTGCAAAGGTTTGCAGTTCATGGGCCGTTTTCGAGCACCCCTTACCATTTGTCTTCCCGAGTTTACCACTGGTAGCAGTTCAAACTAGCGCGACGGGGCTTTTTCTGCAGTGTGCACGTGTATGTACATGTCCTCAGCTGATGGAAAGCATTCTGCGCACGCTTGGTCAATATGTGTTAACCGTTTATTGCTAAGTCATACTAGTGCATGTCCATACGCATTTACTTGCACACCAGTTCATTCATCCATTGACGCGTTTGGATAAAACTCAGTGGGTTCTCCCAAATGATAATCCATTCGTTTTTGTCAAATGTAGTCATGATCGCATCACTATCCATCACCACCAACTGAGACACATAATAAACTCTTAACATGAGACAGTTTTAGCATTTGGAACTCAGTTCGTTTTGGTTGATCGGACCCTATGAGAGATGACTTATGTCAAGGAAAAATCCGGAATCGGACGCTAGCAGTTGCGCAATGGACGTTGATTAGGCTGCACGGTTCGGCGATCAATAATCAGGTTTTGAGGTCGGTAAGCTGCTTACCTCCAACATATATCCGCGAAACACCACCCATTTACATGTTAAAGTAGATTCCACAACATTAGCTGCTGCTCTCCTTAGTAGTCCCACAAACTCGGGATAACGAACCACAGAACCAGCATGGTACTCGATGGAATGCCAGTGCACCTACCTACAAGAGAATTGGAAAATTCTTGGCGATCTGCTGGTCTTGTTCGCTTGTCGTAAGTGCTCCTTTTTGTTAGACCAATGTAGCCCGCACCGCTATCACCTCGTCCTTTAAAATTTGTGGGAGAGTAATTAGTCCATACGCTGCTCTCTGTTTTTCCGCAATTGCATTCTTGTTTGGCTTTAGTATCACAGTACACCATGAACCAAATCTTCAGACGTTGGAACGGCACTATTGTGTCGACATTTGTCAGTTGGATGGCTAGCGAGATGTCTTCCATACCGAATCGAGCACTACCCTTAACGTGTACATGAGTAACCCTAATGCTCGTGTTACCGTGTTGCAGTGGTTTTTCAGTTTCAGCTTGTACAGCCATTACCCATGCACTTTCGTGCGCCGGTTTTGAATGAAGCAGTAGAAAGACAGGAAAGTTGAAAGTAGGGTCGGTCATCTCGAGGTTCACAGCCAGGAAGCTTAACGACACCTATTTGACCGAGTTTGTTCCGTTCTTTCAACCTTTAACCATGCATTTTCGTTCGTCGGTTTCGGTTGTTGTCTTTCGGTTACCCATTTGGATAAACAGCAAAATAAAGATTAGAACGTCGCAGCAGATTCAAGCGGAAGATATCGAATTTATATAGATTGAAGTTAAAAGGATAATGAGTAGATGCATGAGCGCCACTATTTGTGACACCCAGCCATATCGCTCAGTGTCTGACCATCGGTGACCATGATTTCGGGGTCCCCAGTCTGGGAGCCTAACGGGACCTATATGTGCCAGTCTCCTGATCAGGGTCTTCATACCTTCATGCCAGGTCTTGGTTTGACCGCCCTTGATCTTTTTCCAGTCGCTACCTGCCTCGGCATACATCGCTGGCCGTGGCAACCCATCTGATGACATGCATAGCACATGTCCCAACCAGCGTAATCTATGGAGGTCGACCACTTGCTCCAGTGGACGACCATGACTGCCTGAAACTCTGTGCCTAACCTCAGCATTGCGCGACCGGTTACTTCACCAGACTCGTGCAATGCGACGTAGACAGTGGGGTTCAAACACCGACAATTTATTTTTATCCTCTTCCCGTAGTGGCCAAGTCACGGCACCGTATAGCACAACTGGCCGAACTGTTGCAACGTATACTCGGTCCTTCACAAGCAGCCGGATGTCGCGACGGCACCACAAATGTCTCAAGTTGGCAAATGCCAATCGAGCATTTGTATGCGAGCTGACACGATATGTGATGAGTCCGCAGGTGAGATAACTGCCCACATAGCGAAACGTGTCTACTTCCTCAGTCCGGGTCAGACTGGGTGCTGTACCAACCGAATCTTGGAGCAACGTTTTACACTTTAAAGTTGCAAAACACATTCAGAACATCGCTCCACTAGCACTCAAACTACCCAGAAAAGCTTGCAACTAACCTGGATATTCACTTGGTAGCACGTCGTCTGTATACTCTAGATCAGACAGCCNCAGACAGCCTGCCACCCGGAAGTAAATCGATACCGCTATCCCGGCACGAGGATAGAGCTGTTTCAAGAATTAAATCTATAACAACGTTGAATAGAAATGAAGAAAGAGGGCAACCCTGTCGAACTCCCCTTTCCGTGGTGAACTCGGGTGAAAAAGTACCGTAAGCTCGGCTTCGGCTATTACTGTAGAGGGATTGTAATAATGAAATAAACTTCTCGGGCACTCCCTTCAGGGAAAAGCAGCACCAGAGTTTAGAGCGGTCGACTGAGTCGAAAGCCGCTTTCAGGTTGAAGCTGGAACTGGTGGGTCTACGAAAGGGGTTTCCGTGTTCTAGGAGTTGACGAAGAGTGAAGATGTATTCAATACAACCACGACCAGGTCTAAAATTAGCCTGATTCTCACGTGTGCACTCTTCACGAGCGGCAGGCAATCGACGGAGTATGATCCCGGCTAGAAGTTAAGAGGCGATGTTCATTAAACTAATTCCTCTGTGGTTTTCACAAGAGGACATCTCGTCCTTCTTGTATGATCACCGATTCAGTTGAAACCTGTTCCTTTCCCATACTAAGCCCAGGAGTTTTATTAACTACAAAACCAAGACTGAACCTCCATCCTTAAAAACCGATGGGGACAGCTCGTCGGGGCCGGAAGCTTTACATCTTTTGAGATAGCTCATTTCTCGGGAAACCTCCATTTCCAATGGATGACTAATGTCAACTGGCAGTTTTTGTACAGTTGAATCGGGTGTAGGGAGGTTTTGTGCTGAAAAAGGCCAGCTGAACTGAGCCTTAAAACGTTCTGCCCATCGATCTGGAAGGCGTTGGTGAATATGAATCAATGTGCCGTCAGACTCATTAATTACTTCACTTGCTTTCCTTGGGTCTGTGCTCCTAATTAATTGAAAAAGATAGTGACTATTACCGATAGCCGCAGCCTTCACCATCTCTCTACACTTTCCTACCCACCACTTCTCGCGGTCATTCCTTAGACTCTTGATGAGCTGGCGTTCAGGGGATTTACGCGCTTTGTCGTAGTTTGAATCCGAAGGAGTGGCTTTGTGAGCGTCCTACAGAGCAACCGAGGTCGGGGAGATCCATCGTTTTTTATTTGACCGAGTCTCCTGATTAGGGTTTTCTTACCGTCATGCCAAATCTTATCTTGGCGACCGTTGGCTTTTTTCTACCTGCTACCTCTCGGCAAACCACCACCTGGCGGCCTATTTGGTGAAATGCTTGATATGCCTCGCTCAACATAATCTATGGAGGTCGACCACTTGTTCCAGCGGGCAGCCGCGGTTAACTAAAACTCCGCATGTTCGGTGATAAAATCGGTCGAGACCACGATTGTTCGATCAGAGAGCAAAGTCCTTTCCAGAGTACACTTGAAAGATGTCAACTCCACGGTTGAAACGACCGATCTTAGCTTTGCGGGTTTGAGACATTAAGATTCACAACCTTCCTTGATAAGCCATTTTGGAGCCGCTTGCGTACATCTAAGCCAAGTTGGGACCTGTACATAGTTTTTTCAATCACTGAGTTCGAAACTGATTGGTGAAATCTTCTGCATCAGATGAACCATTCGGTAAATGAATTGGTTTGTGTTACGATCGCCATTTGCTGTCTTACCGAGATTCGCAAAATTAAAGAACAAATGAGGCGTAGCTGTATTGTTTCAACTCCAGAGCACGTGCCCAAACCTTTGAAATTCAGTGTATGTATCATTTTAGTTTCATTTTTTATAGCCAATTTATATGCACTTCCATGGTAACCCACTGGTTTAGCCGCTGTAGCCGGCTTTAAACCCTGTAGTCTGAACTCCTAACCTTGTCACCGCCACCCAACTTTGGTGGTGGGCGACTTTGCTCTCGTACGGTTCAACATCACGCCTGTCCTAACAGGGCCTTATGTGATCTGCCAATGCATGTCCAGGGCCTTGAGTTACCGGTTTCCATCACTAAATAGTCTACGTGACTATGGCTTTCACCCCGCTCGCTTTTCCTAACACAAAATGTGTGTAATAAGAAAAGAAAAAAGTACAACAGTTTATTCCCATTGTCACATGCAGTCACTCGTCGACCCACCAAGGTCACTCAGGTCATCAGAGAAATTTCTCGAGAATCGGTTTTTAGCTGGGGTTGCTAATGTATCCGATATATGATCGTGACTATCCGAGTTCATGAAGGACAGGAGAGCTTTCGGGTAACTAACTATTTTTAGGAATGCGTTTAGTAGAGTTTAGGAATGGGGAAACAACGGTCAGTGCGTTGGGGTTTATTAAGAGCAGTTCTTAATTAATCTCCTTATACTTGCTTCAGTTGGGCAAGTACTGCCAATAAACATCATTCCTCCATCTGAAATAGAGGTTGCCCGGAAAATCAGTTACCTCAAAAAGTATGAGGTCTCCGGCCCGAA